ATTTGGACGTTGACGTATACTGCACGTCCGATAGCTGGAGCTGTCGCACAAACATCTCCTAAGCAGCATTTTGCGCTCAGATAACATGACAATCGCCAAGCACCCTTGGGCAACTGTTATGATTACAATAGAACAAATATGTTGTTGAACAAACAAAAGTTGTTCACTCAAAATTTGGACACCACTACAAAATGGCCAACACCTGTGCTTAAAGTGTATGGCAGTTAAGTGCACTATATCAGAAAGGAGTGAACGGAAAGAAGTGAGTGAATTTGGACGTTGACGTATACTGCACGTCCGATAGCTGGAGCTGTCGCACAAACATCTCCTAAGCAGCATTTTGCGCTCAGATAACATGACAATCGCCAAGCACCCTTGGGCAACTGTTATGATTACAATAGAACAAATATGTTGTTGAACAAACAAAAGTTGGACACCACTCAAAATTTGGACACCACTACAAAATGGCCAACACCCAATATAGTGCACTATATAAGTGATAGGGAGTCGTTTCGGATTCAGCTATTGGTTTACTTTATCCAACCCCTACAGACTAGCCTGGACTTTAGCAGTGACTTATTAGAGGTGATATGAGTATGCGGTACAACTTGATTATGTGGACAGGCAAAGGGGAATGCATATATTTTGCACAGATGATTTTCTATCATATCATATAATAAAATACTGATTTATTATAATAATAATTATAATTATTTTCTGTGCGTGTTGTGTGTGTGGTTCAGAGAGGGTGGCCCCTATTGACCAGTCGCCACTGCTATTATGGATGTCGAGACTCAGGATTAAAGTGAAATATGAAAATAAATGAAAAGTGTCAATTGTAGGATTACATTCGGATCTGCTCATTTTTAATCTGATTTCTTTTTATGCATTTATATATTTTTATTTTATTTTATAAAAGAGGACATTAATTTATTGCTCTACTCTTGATATGTGTGTGAGATAAGAGAGATAAAGAACCTCTTTGACCTGCTTAAGCAGGAAATTGGTTGAAAAGAACGCATTTAAATATTTTTGTTCTGACATATGACTACTGAACTGTCTTAACACCTTGTGTAAACAACAGGAAGTGGTCAGAGCAAGGCAAGTCAAGAACAAAAAAACACATTTGGATTAGGGGCATCTCAATACAACAGAAAGTGCACTTTAACCATTAGCGATTGAAGAGCTCAAGCCAAATGCTAATTGGCCTGCACCTTTAGACACCGATTAAATGTCATCAAGGGTATAATGTGATCCATTAATAACACAATCAAAAAGAGAAAAAACATGCACAGCGAATGCTGAAACTGAAAGCTGAAATTATAAAATGGCTTAAGTAAAGTGTAAAAGTAGCCTTGCACATAATTATTTGAATTCTCTTTTGATATACATAATATTAAAAATGTTCCTATTCTTAAATTGTTGCACAGAATTTGACAACAATAAATGCACATTGTGCATGTGTTAATCAAAATTTATTTTTCTGCACATTTTATTTTAGTTTACGGCAAAGACCCTATGAAGCTCACTGTACATATAAAGTACACTGTACAAAGTACACTGTACACTGTAATGCTTGTCAATAATGATGACATAATGATGAGTGAATGCAACAGAGAGAAATAAATATTGTGTATTTACTTATTTCATAGTCAATGCTATGAAATATTGTACTACAGTCATGCTAAGAAAGCTTTTTTGAATTTGAAAGAGAGAGAAAGAACACTTCCTGCTGCACTGTGATCACAACATTTGATTTGACTACTTCCCAAAATTTCAACAAATAACACCACATTGTTTGGCACTACCAAACCCAATGATTGCATTTTAGATTATATATTAATAATGATGTTTAACAAGAGTCTGCCAGGACCTGACCTGCTTTGACACTCGACACAGGACATTATATGCGTTTACAGATGCAATATATTAATAAAAGTAGAAATATTCACTTTGCATTTTTAAGTTACAGGCATATTTAATTTATTAGTATCAACACAATGATATGGGAAAAGTTTAGTCTTTCTCACATACTTTATTATATTAGGAATTTTTAAACAGACGAGGCTTAGCTAAGATCAGCATTTTATAGTTAATAAAAACTGATTTCTAGAAAGCATGTGGCCTGTAATGTGCCTTTTCCACTGAACTTTTCCAACCAAAAAACATACTGCAGTGCAGATAAACTTTTATTTATTTTTTACCAGTGGCAATTTTGTATTAAAATAAACGTTCGAACATTGTCTGAATATTAATAGTTCAAACTTAAAATCAAGTAAAACTGAATGGAAGAATAACAAGCTCTTCCTAAGGAGAATTATTGGCTACTGTACGTTTAGAAAAACAACAGATAATGTCATTCATTTAATGAGATTTGATTACATCTGGCAGATTATAGGAAGTTACAGGATGGTCTAATATAACCGGAAGACATCGAAAGTACATCACAGTAGTTAAAAAGTAATTTATATACCACTTGATTAAACCCAACATAAGTAAGAAAGAAAGAAAGAAAGAAAAAGAAACCTGTTTTTTGTTGTCTTTGGTGTAGAACTCTGTCCCTGATGGCTCTTGACCATCTCTGCGCCTCCTGCAGGTTCACACTCGGGTTCTGATCGGGCGCCACCCGAAAGCACTGCTCCACCCGCTGCCGAGCCACCCCAGACCTCATCCATCGAGTCCTCAGTGGGTAGAAATAAGCAGAAAAATACGCTCCCACATCCGTACTGTCATGAGACCTGTATGCCCGGCACCCGACGCAGTCACTCAGGTAATACACGACTTTTCCTCGTCCACCGAGTGCTGGGCTGATCTTTTGAACGGTGAGCTCTGTCTCAGTCAATATCAAAGAACACCGGACCTTCATGCTTCCAGTCACCATAAATTCCCCATACATCAGAACCTGACAGATCTCTGGCTTCTTGGATTCAGTATTCTTTGAAGACATGTCATCAGTGCGCAGCGACTTTCACATATGCACACAGTAGCCTGATCTGACTCAGCTCAATATGGAACTGCTGCGTCCTGCCTTCTCAGCCGCGCTATACACCAGCTATTCCGCATTACAGCTCGAACCCCCTAGCGATAGAAGCCGGTAACAACCTTAAATATGGTTAGGGGAGACCGGGGATGGTTGTAACATTTTTGACATTTCTGTCTGTATCTTGGAGTTCTTTTAAGCCAGTGCGTTCAAAATCTAATTCAAACTAGTTCCAAGTGTCTGATATTAAATGGTGTAGCTGTTAACTACACTAACAGAAAATGCATGGTTTAGTTTCAAACACAAGGAGTGAAATGTTACAATTCACCCAATAGTCCGGGTTATACCCTGGGGTGAGATGTAACATTATATCCACCGGGGTGAGATGTAACATTATGCAGTAAGGACTATGACGTAAAATGGATTTTGAAAGCAAAATTAAAAAAATTAAAAATAAATAAAAAATGAAAGCATTTTTGTTCAACACTGAATTTTCAACATAATTGGTGTGTGTGTGTGTGTGTGTGTCAAAACTGAATAAAATAAGCAAATGAGCCCCAACTTCAACAATTGAACACTATTTGTGTGGATGTCCCCACTTTTCACAAAAACAAACCTGTGTATGTGTGTGTGTGTTACATTAGCATCATGATAATAAAACTGAATAACGTGCATGTGTGTGTGGGTGTTTAGGCATGTTTGTAAACGTCAGTCATAGTAATTGGCCATAATAAAATTGAGCTTGAACACTTAAACATTGAGAGATACCCCTCGGTTTTTGTCTTTCTCTTCCATAAGCATACTGAAATTCAAAGAAAACATATAAATAAAACAAGCAAACAAAGAAATTTGCTTGGAGTGAGTAATATAATGTTTTGATGTTACAACGATTCTTCCTGATACAACTAATCCAGCTGACCTTACAGCTAACAGCCAAAACATTAGCACTAACAACTTGCATGAATATCTACACAGACACACACTAAACATAATTTAACTTTGATGAGTTAAACTTCAAAGCAGGGACTGCCTTCACAAAAATAAATTAAGTATACCAAGTTACTTTCTTACCTCAAAATTAGTTTTCCTTCTCTAAAATCTGCTGTGTGTGTCTGCTGCAGGGATTTACTTCCTCTCATGCACTGTAAAGAGATTGCTGTAAATTTTACAGTAACTTACTGGCTGCTAGATGCCAGTAAGTTACTGTAAAATATGGTTACAGTATTATTACTGTATTTTCATTTACAGTACTGTTAGAAATTAACAATTGGTCCCTCGATATCTCTTTGCCGCCTTGAAGTTCTCAGTTCCTTAAAGTGTATACGGCCGGGAAGCAAGAAAACACACATTCAATGGTATTCTCAATACTTCAACTTTATTCATAGATACAAAGATATTATATAGGCATATGTCGAGGGGAGTTTCAACCCTTTAACCAATGAGGATATAGATGACATACATATAGGATCTTTGGCCAAGAACATGTGTTTATATAAAATGGCCATATGAACAGAAAAACATGGACATATTAGGAATAGACTTTTGCGAAGGAGGCTAAACTATCTTCATGGTTTCATCACGAACCTCATTCCTAGCTATCATGTCCTTATTTAGACATTTGAATAAGAAAAGCTAATGTATACATTTGCGCATGCATAGCTCGAATGTGAGTAAGAGACATTAAAACACCATACAAGAGAGAGAGAACAGATAGAGGAGGGAGAGTGAGAGGGAGAGGGAAAGAAAGGAGGGGTGAGGCATATTTGGAACATTCTCAAGACAGAGAGTGTTTTCTAACAGTTATAAATGTTATTTTTAGGGTATGTTGATAATGTATTAAATTTGAAGAGGTAGTTTCCCCTACTTTTATTAGCAATTACTTTTATTGGAATGTTTTAGTAAGGCACCTGACTCGTGTTATGTCTTCGGTTTTCCGAAAACACTCGATCAAGTACGACGCATTCGGTTTTCCGAAAATGGCCGAGCGCAGAACAGCCGCTTTCCGGAAGATCCGGGTGCTGGGGCTTCAACATAAACAGCAATGGCGGAGGCAGCGGCAGCGTCAACAGCGGCTCCAGCAGTTATCGGAGGCTGGACGAAGCACGTACCCTGCAGGTTAGTGAAAAGCAGTCGAGGAACGCGGCTGTCGCAATATTAAACAGTCACAAATATAAAACGCAACCGCGCGTCGATGGCGAGGCATCGGATAGCGCCGCTGTCTTTGTGCTGAACTGGAGTGTGTGTTTGTTGTTGTAACGCAGCGATCAGTACGACAGCGGCTGGTATTTGCGGTCCTTTCTTCCTCTGTCTGTGTGTGTTTATCTAGGCAACATTCGTGTTTGTGAAAACAACAGGCACTGCATCAGCCACACATGGCAGTGAGTTTGACAGTAAAGAGTAGCCTATTCAAGGAAGCCATTAAAAAACCTTGAGTTTACTAGTTTGGGAAGCAGCCAATGTGTCAGTGTCAGCCTCGATGATTTATGTATATGAATTCATTTACCAAGCTTTATCCTAGTCCAGTCATGACTGTACAAAATAACCTTTTTATTTACCCACAAAATTGTAAAAAATTAAAGTAGGTATTTTTTAGATTTCAAACCCAAGTAATATGTAATGTTTACATTAGCACTGTTGTCCTAACATGCACATATGAAGGGACCGGATTATTTAGGTCAAGCTGTTTATACAGTAAATGATGTGTGTAGTGTATTATGAATCATAGCCATAGGCTTTTTAAGGCTCTGATGCTTATTAGTATGAGATGGATATTGATCATTTTATGTTAGGATGCCATAAAGCAATCTATGTTCACGATGTGTAAAACCCTAAGTGTTGTCAGATCAAGCTCATTTTTTTATTTATTTGTAGGTATTTCATGCACGGGCTTTGCAAAGAGGGCGACAACTGTCGATATTTACATGACCTCAGCAGCTGCAAGCCAACCATGATCTGCAAGTTCTTTCAAAAGGGATGCTGTGCTTTTGGGGACCGTTGCAGGTAAGAGATACAATGATGAAATTAAGACTTGAAACAAAATGTGCTTCAAAACAACCGCTGACTCTCTTAATTAGATCTGTGTAGATATTACATACCATCAAAGGTAATGTAATCTGTATTTCAGTGTTTGGGGCCATAACACGTGAGTGTGTTTAAATGTAGTAGCGGTAAGCAAGGCTTCAGAGAAGTGTTGCTTCATTACGTACCCGTGATATCCGAGATGCAGAATTTTCTGTAAACAAGTGGTTGAGTTTGTCGCTTTCTTAAAGGGATAGTTCACCCAAATTGAATACTCTGTCATAATTTTTTAATTCCTAAAGCTGTGTGAGTATCTTTTTGCTGCAAAACACAAAAGAAGATATTTTGAAGAGCATTTTTGCCCATAAACAACATTGGCTATTACTGACTGTCGTTGTATGGACATTATTTAAATATAAAAAATGAGGTCATACAGGTTTGGAGTGACAAGATTTTCATTTTTGCCTGAACTGTCACTTTAAGAACAATTACAGGTCGAGTTGTGTTTGCATTTTACGCATTTGTGCTACATTAATGTTGGCGTTTTCATACCGAAGCACACCCAAGTGCACTCAAAATAAATGGCCTACAAACTGGCTGTTTACATTTGTGTTGTATTAATGCTGTCTGTAGACATATAAATGCCAAAACTAATGCAACATACAAATGGTCTGTTTGTAGGCCATTTCCTATGTGTAAGTGTTTAGATGCCTTTAGAAACTCAAAAGAAATGGCCTACAAACACACCACCTTTAGCCATTGCAGTCAAATGCATTGGTGCTGGAAGCAGAGTAAAAAATTAGCCTGTGAGCCAGACAGTGTAGACAATGTTTGTCTCATATCTGTCTGCGTTCAAGTGTATCCCCATAGTAACTGCTGCCCCCAGCTCGGCAGTATGGGAATGTCTTTGTTTGCCGAGGCTGTTCTATGACAGTATTACATCTGACTGAGAGCTCCCTCTTGCTCGGCTTGAGAGGACTGTTTCCTGCCGTTACAGGGTCTTGAGCTTAAATATCTGATGTCTGGAGGCTAGATTGATGTCTGACAGAGTTGTATTGTCAGCAGATGTATAGGGAGGTGCAGTGATGTTTTTGTCCCCATATGGGGTTTACCGCATTATTGTTCCTGTGTGTTTTGCGAGGAAGGGGGGGGTCAGCTTTCATTAAGTGTGTGTAGAAAGGGCCTCAGTGTATGCTTCATTATGGATGGATTCTTCTTTGCTGCTTTGTGTCTATCTCTGTCTCTTGCTGTCTCCTTCCATGTGCCCCCCCCCCAATCAATCTGGGGGCCAAATAGAGCAGCACACTGCAGCCTGCATGGCAATTACATAACCCCAGTGTGTTAACATGCATCCCTCTCTCTCTCTGTCTCCTTCTGCTGCTGTTGCTACCGCCGTCAGGTTCATTCGGTTCATTCTGCCATTCTGCAGTAGTCACTTGTGCTTCCACCGCTGTGTCATTTATTTATGCGACCCCCACGTATAGGCCGACACGCGCGCAAACACGCATTGGGCTAGAATAGGGCTGAATGACCCAAGAGGTTTGAGGATGGAGAGGTCTCTGGATGCTTAAGGAAAGCACTGATGCGTGTTTTGATGGGGAATAAAGAGAAATATAAAGGTCAGATGCTAAACTATGTTATGACAATGTCATCAGGCTTGTTAGCTATCTTAAATAATAGTATGCTATGAGTGCATGGCATATTTATTTATGTATTGGTTTCTTGTAATATTTTTGAGAAATTGTATTGTCATTCTTGTTTTAAGGATATATTTAAATTTAAATAATTGTTTTAATATATTATTTTCTAATTAATTTATATTCAATTATTATTTATTTGATATTACTTAATAAATTGTCTATTGTTTCTGCAGCTCAAATTAAAGTGAAAACAGCTAGAAATGAAAAAAAAATGCATAAAAAAGGAATAGCAATGTGTACGTACAAGCAGATTTACAAAGTAAATACACAGCATGTACATGTAATTTTATATTACTCATTACTTATGAATAATGAGCAACTCATTATTTATTAGACTGTACCATGAACGCTGTTAAAAAAAAGTTAATTTTTTTTATAACATTGGTGAATCATACTTCTTAATAAAAACCTTGTAATTCCATTATTGCCGAATTACAATCATATCATTATCCTCTTGAGGAATTCAAATGGATTGGTTATTGTCTTAAACAATCATTTGTATGTGAAAACTAGCTGTTCCTTACTAACAATTATGTTGTCTGAAACATTCCCTGAGATGCAAGCAACCCAACACTACATTTAAAACTTGTTCTGGTACACTAGTACGGTTGACTAGTTTACCTACATTTGTTTTCTTCTATTGTTTTTAGTCTTGAAATGATTAGCCATTGTGTTTTCATTAGCATGGTGAAGACTGCAGACAGTTTGCGCTGTAAAACCCACTCGGAAGTGTTACGTATTTAAATGAATCGCTTCTGAAAGAGGCTAACTGCTGCATTATGAGTGTGAACAAGACATGTACTCACCATGGTAACCACACACAAGTCTTCAAGTTTGTGACTGTATCAGCTTGAGAAAAAAATATCACCAGTGGGAAACACTCTGTCACCTAAGACAGAAAAACACCCAGCCGCTTAATGATTATAAGGTGCTAAAGCCTGTCTAAAATAGTTTATCTAAGCACATTGTTTTAATAACAGCCAACACTCACTTAAATATGTTATTTCTGTGTATTTACACTAGCAAAAATGTAATTACATTTCATAACTACCACAGAGAAAGTTTTTTCATTTAGATGCTTTAATTTTAGAGAAACTACGTAGGCCTAGGGGTGCATCTTCATTGCATGGCTTACCTGCTGTATCAGTCCACATTTTATTGTATTTTCACTAAATTTGCATTGTGCCTCAGGTACGAACATACTAAACCTGCCAAGCAAGACGAAGTCCCTAGTTCTAAGCCGCCGGTGCCGCTGACCGCTGCTCCCCTTGCTGGCACTCCTGAACCCGTGTCTGATGGGCCAGGTGGTACGACCGATGCCCAGGAGAAGCCCCAAGGCTTGGGGGCAGTGGACTGGGTCAATGCTGCCGAGTTCGTGCCAGGGCAGCCCTACTGTGGGAGGGGTGAGTGTAGCAGGGAAAGATGTTCCGTTGTCATTGCCAAGACAATCTGTGAAAACACGGTGCCAGCAGATAAGCCAAGCATTCGGTGTACAATATGAAGGCTGTTTTACAATTAGGCTTTTATTTTAGATCTGTTTGTTTGACCAATGCTTTGGTTTGTCATAATAATGCTGTCACTGTTGTGGTGGTTACTGTTTTTGTGGCACACTTCTTCATTGCTGTATACAAGAACCAAAGGAACTGATTTTCACTTCCTGGAAAATAAATTAGAAAAAATGTATCTGGATTCTCTTACTCCGATTCTTTGACAGGCAGATTGGGCTTGAACTAGCTGTAACGTTTCAATACATTTTTGTAAATAATTAAATAATGTATTGTTAACACTTAACAATAAGGTTCAATTCGTTAACATAAATGCTGTAAAAGTATTGTTCATTGTTAGCAATTCATTTTACCATGGTTTCGGTCTTGCAGTTACACTTATGCATTTGTCAAGTACTTTTATCCAAAGCGAGTACATCTCCCACTAACACACTGGGACCTGCACCAGTCACTTTGTGCAGCATTGGTCTGCTCACTACGTCATTCAGCATTGAACTGACCTCATTCAACTACCCCTTCTGAAAGTTTAAATAAAGAACTCTCTGTTTTGTCACTTTAATCAGTCTGAATAAGCTCTTTTGCACTACAATCATTATATCTGCACTGTTGTTTACTTCACTGGTTTGCACTCTTATCTGCCATGTGCCTTGTGCTGCTTTATTTCTTTTTTTACATGACCTTATTTGTATATTTGTATAGTTGTATTTTATATTTAATCTGTATCTATCTGTATTTATGTTCTACTGTTAGTGTTATCTGTATGCACCAAGGGTCTGAGAGTAACGCAATTTCAATTCTCTGTATGTATGTGCTGTACATGTGGAAGAATTGACAATAAAGCAGACTTGACTTGACTTGATAATATCCTTACTGTATTTTCATTTAAAGTATCAGTACTGTAGAGTTTATTTTCATTTAGTTTAAACATTTTTTACCTGTAAAAAATAATCCAATTGCCTTACAGCACTGTAATCCATGATTGTTACCACCCCAACCCCATAAAAATCACAATAACTCATGAGAATTAGTTCTGATAATATTCTTTAATTGTTGAACATTTTCTTTTTAAAAGTACAAACTACAAATCTTGACCTCTAGGGTGCACTAGCTGAGAAAAGGGCATTACCACAGTCCCATGGGCAAAACATATGCATACTGAAAAGCAAAACAGGCATTACAAAAAAACAAAAAAACAAAAATAAAGTAAATAAAATAATACAGTAAAAATTAGTTTGTGTTGTTGTGTTAAATTTCAGTAATTTTGCCAGTCAAAGTTGACAAGCATTCCGATGAGAAACACCAAGAGGGGATTCAGGCTGATGCCTTTTCTTTGCACCCTCTTTCCAGAATTCCAGCTGATCTGAGACTTTCAGTGCATTTGGTGCCACAAAAGTTGATTGTGTGAATGAACCTACAAGCACAAGAAAAAAAAAAAATTTTTTTTTTTCAAAGCAGTGTTTACAGAATTTGCCTCAACTGTCAAACTTGGTGCTGTATGCACTCTGACGTTAATAAAAACGTTATATACTACATCTGAACACACCTACAAGAAAGGTACATAATCAGTTGATAATCCATCACATTCAAATTATTAAAGCTCCATTTTTTACAATAAATTCTCAAAAATTAAAAAATATTCAGTAGAGCAAAGTGCTAGAATACCAATCTAATGTGTTTGATTCCAGGGGCAGTTCTAGACTGAGTGGATATCCGGGGTTTAGCCCAGAGATACACAGGATACACTTCAAATAAAACAGGCTATGCTGAAAAGGTACACTGGATAAGTGGATATTTTTTTTCTTTAAGAGACAAGTATAATTAATTATAATTTGCACTTACAAGTTGCAGAAATAATATTATGAAATTAATGTTTTAAATATAAAATTTAGAACACAGAAATATGAAATGACAGAAAAAAATAGAATGATACTTTTAAAAATGATACTAAAATTACCAGTAGGTGGCAGCAAGCCACTACCTTAATTACTGAGTCTTCATTTATTAAATCAATTTGTTCAAAACTGCTGATTCATTCAGGAAGGAAGTAAGAAACTGTTTTTATGAATGGGTCAGTGAATCACTGATTCAAGTCTTCAAAAAAAGGTAAATACATTCAGTAATGAAACACTGCTGAGTGCAGAGATGCACAACATGGCTTTGTTTAGAACTGTTTTCGCGAAATAGAGCAAAAAGACAATATTTTCTCTACGATTTAAAACACTTAATATTAACTTCTTGTTTATTGAATTATATTGCCCTGACACTTAGTAAAGTCTGCCACAGACCATGCTAAATGCTAACCAATCTGTTCATATAATCGTTCTAAATGCATATGTGTGTCCTAGAAAGTCTGCTCAAATAGTAGGCCTACCATGATAAAAAAAATCTATATTTGTTGCTATACAGAAACAATAATCTAATTTTGACAGATGGTGAGATCGGTATTATGAATTTTTAGGCTACAGTAAGTTAAAGATAACTGAAGCAGCTGCATTTTGCTGTTTAAAGGGTTAGTTCACCCAAAAATGAAATTCTGTCATTAATTACTCACCCTCATGTTGTTCCAAACCTGTAAGACCTTTGTTCATCTTTGGAACACAAATTAAGATATTTTTGATGAAATCCGAGAATTTTCTGGCCCTGCATAGACAGCAACACAACTGAAATGTTCCCAGGCCCAGAAATGTAGCAAGGACATCGGTAAAATAGTCCATGTGACACAGTGGTTCAACCATACTGATATGAAGCTACGAGAATACTTTTTATGCGCAAAGAAAACAAAAATAACTTTATTCAACAATTCTTCAGCTCCTCATACTGTCTTCAGCGGATGCGCATGCTGATGTATGTTTGTTTAACGTAAGCAGCAGCACCATGCATATGCGTTGTTTACATCAAGCGGAAGCAAGCGCATGCATCGTGATACTCTCTCCACAATGGCGGCATGCCGCTGCAGACGTTATGAGGAGGAGAAGAATTGAAGTACTTGAAAATACTGTTTAAAATCTCCACTGGAACAGTGGTGTTGCCTGACGCACTTTACCTCAGTATTTCACGTTAGTTCGCTATTAAGGTTAAGTAACGACTCGCCAGATTAGTTAACTTGCATTAAAGGGCAGCAGAATGTACAAACGTGTTTCTCGGTTTAACTAAGGTTTATTTCGACTAATATAGGTGACCTTAACTTACTCACCAGTCGATGTTATCAGCGTTTTGGCGGCATTCTGGCCGTCAGTCAGAAAAAAAGGCTCCAACTCCTGACATGAAAAACGACACAATGAATAATGTTAGTTAACTGTTAACAAGTGAAAACATCTTAAAATATCTCAGTTTTGCATAAAACAGAAATAATATACTAACCTTTTTGTCGAGTTAACGGTGCAACATTTCTCTTTTGTCCTTTTACGGCCACTTCCACCAAACAGTGAAAAAAGAAAACAGTGGTTCTTCCTTGCCATTGGTCAGTTTTTCGCGGGGAAGTTCTGTAAATTTACAGTAGTTTACTGTAAATGGCTTTAGAAATACAGTAGTGTCCGTATATTTTCCCATAATCCTTTGCTGATTACAGTAAAATATATCATATATGAACATGGTTTTGCGCAGCTTGTCAGTGAACAACATCTCTGTGTAGTAAATGCTGCTCCATGTGAAAGCACGCACGTGATGGAGATTTACAGCTGATTACACAACCGGAGTTACTGACAAGATGCGTATTAAATATCGCATGCGATTTATCGTGCAGCCCTAATAAATAATTACTTTACCTTCAGAGTCTTTAATTCATTTGTCATGAATGACCCATCACTACCCCATATGTATTTCCCCATTCACAGCCCATACAGATATTACCAATGTGGGTAATATCTAAGGCCCATGTAGGCAGCCTATATGGGACTGATTGTGTTTGTCCATGTTTTACTCATATGGTTTGACCAAGAGGGCCCCGTATGTGTTTGCTCATTCTGAACCCAAAAAAAGAGGTTGCCTGTGTGGGTACTACTTTGGGCCCATGTAGGCAGCCAATATGGGAATGATTGTGTTTGCCCATGTCTAACCCATTTGTTAAACCCATGTGGGCCCCATTTGTGTTGCCCATTTTGAGCCCATGCACTCATTTCCCATTAGTGACCCAGCTTGGACCCACATAGGGAGCCCACCTGTTTTCACCCATGTGGGACCTACTTAGCTGACCCAAGTGGGCCCCAGATAAGATGCCCATTTTGGGACCATGCTCACTTGGTACCCATGTAGCCCCAGCATAAACCATATGGGGCCCACACCCAGCAAAAATGCCCGCGCGGGCCCACTGTGGGTTTTCTGTGGGACAGTGTGGGCAGAGCAAACCCACACAAAACCCACTCGGGGCCCATAGCAGTTTGGTCATTTGGGGCCCTATGAGGCTTGCCCACAAAAAAAAATAAAAAACACCCGGGGCCCCTTGTGGGTTTTGTGTGTACTGTGTATATTTATTATGTATATATAAATACACACACATGCATGTATTTAAGAAAAATATGTTATGTTTTTATATGAAATATATTTATATATAATAAATATAAATGTTTGTATTTATATATACATAATAAATATACACAGTACACAAGTAGTCAATAAGGACCACCATGTGTCAAGAATGATTTATGACCCTTGCCAAGATTGATTTATGGCTTTGACCTTTCCCCTCCCCCCATGTAGCCCACCCACGTCACGACCACCCACATCATATTGACCCCGGGACCTGTTAATGACATCCAGATGTGAAAATCGGCATATGTGGAATTCCGATGTCGACCTTTGCCCTCCGGGGGAAGAAATATGATGTTTGTCCAATTCTGTCCGATGTCATAAATGAATTCCTGAGGAATGTTTTTGAACATTTTATGGTCTGCCCCCACATCCGGTGGTGTCCGGCATCTGACGCCCCACATGTCCGGGGAGGAATCCGATTGCATTTTTGGTCACTCTCTCTCTGGAGATGTGAGAAAGAAGATATTGG